CCCCAAAACCCCAAAACCCCAAAACCCCAAAACCCCAAAATTTCGAGTTCTAAATAATAATCCTAAAAAATGGAGAAATCTAACTTCTCGAACAAGAATTTTCGAAAGCTGATTTCAGATATTGAAGAAATAGTCGACCAAGAGCTTACAGCTTCACAGATAGAGAAAGGTAACTTTTCATCTCACTTCACAGGCGTTGAGAGCATCAGGCATCTGTCAGAATTCCTGATTTATTCCAAGAAGAAATAAGCTCACCTATTTTGAATTCTTTGTTGAGAATAGAGTGCTGGATACCTTCTCTGCTATCCTGGATAAATGCAATATTAATATCAACATACAGCTGATTCAGACTATGAGCATCTTGATTCAGAACATAGAAGATGAGCAAAACTCTTTTTATCTATTTTCCAATCCTTTTCTGAACAAACTCATCTCTTTCAACTTTGATCTGAGTGAGAACAATGAGCTGGTGGATTACTATATATCCTTCCTGAAGATGCTTTCTAATAACCTTAATGATGTCAGCATACAGTTCTTCTACTCAAAAAGTCAGGATTTTTCTCTTTATGGAGCAGCTACCAGTCTTTATAACCATTCAGAGCCTTTGGTACGGACAGGAGCGAGGACTATTACATTGAATATTTACAGAAATTGTGAAGAGAAAATGCTAAATTGTCTCTTATCTCTTCCTTATGCGTCCTATTTCCCAAACATTTCTGCACAATTGATGAGGTACTGGAAGCGGATAGATAAGAGCCTGATGCAGGAAGTAGAGTTTGATGATCTAAGAGACGAGTTAGAGGACATTAATGATCTTCTTATGTACTTCCAGGACATATTTGATCAGAAAATTCCTAAGCTCACCAAAGCCTTAGCAAATAGTCTCTTATATTATGCTTACTTCCCTTGTTTGATTGGAAGTATAGGCAACTACAAAAAGGGGCCAGAGATATCATCTTATTCAGCAGTAATTTTCTTCCTCTGTCAGACCTACAATTACATAAAGGAGCCATCTTTCATCAATACTCTCTCTGTTGTTGTCTTTATGCCTAATATTCCTCAACAATTCTTAAAGCTAGTTGCTGGAAGTGTGAAGATTCCTCTCAGCTACAGAGAGACTTACACTAGAAGGCTGGTATCCACAAATCTGTACAATTATGCTGAAGAAAGTCTTTCAATAGTTTCTCTCTTAGACAAAATGATGTAAGCCAACTAATTCATTTTTATAGAAATTCAACCCATTCTTTCCTTGACATAGCTACAGATGAATATTTCCAGCTTAGAGAGGAAGAAGGCCGAGGAGACGAGTCTATAATGGACGACCCAATCGAGTTAAAATAGAAAGTCAATTGAATTTGTCAGTAAATGACTCAAAGAAAATGAGTTAAAGAAGATTGTCAAATATCACACCCAACTTTCAATTGCCTTAGGAAAGCCAATCGGAATGCTTGAGAAAGAGAGTAAATTGTGGTATAAATATCATAGAGCAGTTTGACTATGTCTCCATCACAGATTTCACAGAGGATATCCTTGACTCAATGTACAACAACAGTTATGATAAATTTATTGTCAGGAACAAGAACGAGATAAATGAAAGCTCCCAGAGCTTGATTAATTTCCTAAATTCCAAGGATGATTCCCTGATTCTTCTCCTAAACTCCTTGCTATACATTTATATGAACTCTAAAGCAGTTGATCCTTGAGTTTTGTATCACTCAAGGCTATATCCTATTGGAAAAATCAGTGACAAAAATCCTGAAGAGCATAGCTGTGAGAGCGAAGAATCAAAGGGCTTTGTAGGAGAGAATGAGAACTTCAAAGACCAGAATGATTTCTTAGACCCTCAGATCCATCAAAGAATGAAGACATATAACGAGCATATTCTGATGACTTATGATGAACCTCAATACGACCAGGAGATAATGTGAAAAATATTGAATCTAGTCTGTACAGATCCACCTTTCCGTCAGGTGACATTTAGATTCTTGATAATGGTCAGTTACTACCTGACCTACCATAAGGATCTCAATATCTGATTGCACAGGGAGGAATATGAGAAACTAATCTATGCTTATAGGCAAAGTATCCGGTCCATCACCCATTTATACGCAGATTTTCAAGTTTCACAAGCTTTTCTTGAAATTTTTGAGTACGAATACAAAAATTTCAGTCTCTGAGATGACGATAAATTCAAGCGTATTGTGAGAAATCCTTGGATTATCATTCCAATATATGATGAGAAGAACCAGAAGAATCTTCCTGATATACTGAAGACAAGTGATAGCAAAGTGCAGCAAATAAAAGACCAGATTCAGAGGTTCCTCACCTTGGGACATCTCCTTAATAAGCTAAATTCTGAGAAACTTGTTCTAATTTTCAAAGATTATCCTTTCAAGTTTGAAGGAAGAGATGTATACTCATGGGAGATTGGAGATGTGATCATAATCGATGAGGACAAAACACTTGTCCTGTGCAATATAATTGAAGGCAAATCTGCTTTAACAAGGTATATAGTCCTCGACCCTGAGTTCTTTATCCTAGCTGAGCCAAATTTTGATGATGGCCCCTACAAAACAGTCAAAGTATGCATGAAATATTCTTTGAAGAACATAAAAGTTGAACAAGACCCTAAGAAATCATCCAAAATGCAAGTAGGAGTGTATGAATATGACCATGATGGGGATTGAAAGCATTCATATTTCACCTTAACCTTTGAAAACAGTGTTAACATGGGTGCTAGTAAGAAGACCATAGAGAATAACCAGAGGCAGCAAGCTGAATTCATTGACACTCAAGTCTACTCCTTCTTCGACTTCTGTCTTGACACAATAGGAGAGGAGACCCAGACTGGATAATTCCAATTCAATACAGAAAGCCAATATGGGGTTTTGGGGTTTTGGGGTTTTGGGGTTTTGGGGTTTTGGGGTTTTGGGG